TTGTCTGCAGCCAACAGTCATTAGTTAAATCTGCTCGTTAACTAACAGCCTAGGTTATTAACTACGGTAACGTTTAACAAACGCTCTGACAGTTAGTCACATAAATAACGCTCAGACTGATTTTATCAACGTTGTGCGATTAACTTTGTCAAAAAATACGAAAGAGCAAAGAAATGCGAAAGTCGCAGTAGATTAAGGTAAGGGTGAACACATAACATAACATATTAAGTAGGCATAAAGTGATGTTATTTTTGATAAAAATTCTATTTCATCATTTAATCAGCGCCGATAGGTGTAATAACGTCTCTTCTTACAACGTTCGAAGCTTATTTTACCACGCGGCAGCTTTTGCTGTCGCACGGATGGGCCGGCTCGAACCGGGGTGGTACCATGACCTCACAGAATACTAGCGTGAATTAGCAGGTTGACCTCTGCATTTCGCTTGGTTAGTACAGGTGGCCGGAAGCCCAACCCCTCCCCCCTCCACTTAACATGGTGGCGGAATCAAATAAATAAATACCCCAAGAGGGTACCAGCACCCCTTGTGACGGAGAATTCCTCGCTGAGCATCCACGACCAAGCTATCGTACTCTTCCTAAGCGTGGGTGCTCAGGCTGCCCCGTGCATTTTTTTACTATAGCTCGTGTTGAAGTTGAAGAAGCTATTGATTTAGGGGATGGGGCGAAATTCCGCTCGCGAATACAACTGCTCTAAGACTAAGGGGAACCCTTTGCAACATCAGGGGACATCAATCCAACCTTAACGCTGTCTACTGCCATCTGGAGACGGCGAAGACGGTTTTGCTCTTTTAACCGAAACTCAGGCGTCATCTCCGGCTGATACTTAATATCTCCTACCTGGGGTGTAAATCCGATGACTACAGATTCCTTGTTACAGCAGATCCCATCCGCAGAGATCGTGATCCTAACGCCCGCCACGCCGAATGGCTCGGTTCACGTTTAACCGATCAGGCGGGGAGATCTGTTTACGACTTTGCCTTGGCATATGGCTCTACACTGCTGGTTTCTTTGCCTACACGGATTCCAGATGTGAGGGATCATACACCTTCCGTGTTGAATCTTTTGCTGACATCTCATCCGGACGGATATCGGGTTTCCGTCGATGCCTCCCAAGGCTCATCGGACCACTGTCCAGAATGTGGTGTCACTCACACTACCGTCGCGGTTGCATTCTGCAGGCTGCCGCCATGTTTGGCACTATAGTCGGCCTATTAGGATAGGATGCGGTCTTTGAAATTTAAAATTTTAAAGAGGAAGGAAAAAATGTTGGATCCGAATTACCTTATATATATATATGTATGTCCCAATCCAAAGCCTCGAAAAATTTCAGCTCGAGCTGCAAAATCGTTTTCAGTGCCTAGAAACTGCAATGAAGTGGGCGATATAAATGACGAGCTTGTGGAAACTGTCCATGCGATTGGCAGCATCGTTTCCGTGACACCTGAGATTCTGAGTGAGATTGAGAGGTTCTATAGGCTACAGAACGGAACAGTTATAGATGTACACGTCATCGTTTTAGCGACACGCAAGTGTGAGTAACGATGCTAGTGCAAGTCTTATCCGACATTATTCCGATGATATCCCGGACGTTAGTCTAAGCGAAATTAGGGTGGTTCTCCAGCACCTTAAAACGGCAAGTACCCGGGCGAGGATGGAATTACAGCCGAGCTTCTGAAAGCGGGTGGAAAACCGATACTTAAAAAGATTCAGAAGCTCTTCAATTCCGTCCTGCATGGTGGCATTACTCCGGAGGCGTGAAGCGGTGCGGTGGTCTTGTTCTTCAAGAAAGACGACAACGCTCTCTGAACTACAGACCGATTTTCCTTCTGAGCCGCGTCTACGAGCTGTTTTCGAGAGTCATTACGAATCGTCTCGCACTCGGACTCGACGACTTCCAGTCTCGTGAACAAGCCTACATACCCTTCGGCAAATTGTACAGAAGTCTGAAGAGTACAATCTGCCACTTTGTCTTGCGTATGTGGCCTATGAGAAAGCCTTTGATTCCGTCGAAATTTGGGCGGTGCTGCAGTCCCTTCAGCGGTGCCAAGTGGACTGTCGGTATATGGAAGTGCTGAAATGTTTGTACAGTAGGGCTACGATGACTATCCTAGTACAGAACCAGAGTATGAAACCTATCCAACTGCAGAGAGGTGTAAAACAAGGTGACGTAATATCTTCACCACTGTATTGGAAGACTTTTCAAGCTACTGGACTGGAAATGATACGGCATTATTGTCTATAGCGAGTACATCACACACCTTAGATTTGCCGACGATATAGTCCTTATAGCAGAATCACTGGACTATGTTCAATGAACCGATAACCGATGGAGAAAAAAGGTTCTCGAGTGGCAGCCTCGTACCGGCAGGCAAAGTGTAGGGCGTCCACTTGATGGAGTGATGACCTTGTAAGCCATGCAGGCGGCACAGGGACTTGTGAAGGGCTGTAATGGTGATGGATGATATATATATATATATATATATATATATATATATATATATATATATATATATATATATATATAAAAGGTAGAATCATAATTAAGGGCTCATATCACGAAGAAGAAGAACGCAATAATTTTTTTTAGTTTCAATTGCTTCGTGACATTGTTAATGAATTTTATACATATCAGGGAGTACAGTGCGCTATTTGGCTAAAATCATAAAATGTACAAAGTGCTTACATTACTTACAGAATGATGAGAAACTTGATTTTCATAAGATAAATGTATTTTTAAACATTAATAATTGGCTGTGCTTATAATTAGTTAACACAGCCATTACTTTTCGGCTGTGCTGCTTACTATAAATCTAGTACAGCCACAAATTTATAACCTGATTCGAAATCTATACTTTTATGAGACCTTAAGAATTTGAGTGTGCTAAAATTAATTAATTAACACAGCCAAAAATTTTCGGCTGTGCTGCCTTATGTCATACTAGCACAGCTACAAATTCATGATATCAATAGGCACATTTAAATTTATAAAAGTAGTATATATTCTGTGATATGTATGCTAAATAATTAGCTAGGCACAGATACAGTCGAAATACTGCTAAAATATTATGCGATGCTCAATTCATTAAGAAAACAATTATTATGCAAAAAATGTCTTATTATGACAACTAATTAGAGCATGATTTTCCATATTTTTTTAGTCGATTGTGTCATTATGGCTATGACAGCTTTAAAGGAAAGGAAGGGAAGGCCAAATTGGCCTTTAAAAATCTTGGCATCCTCAACAGAGCGAAACAGTATTTCATGCAGGCACATCGCTTGCAACTTTACAAAGCGCAAGTTCGGGCTCACATAGTTCACTGTTCTCATCTCTGGGTCGGGGCACCCCAGTGCCAGCTCCTTCCACTTGACCGGTGGTTCGAATCGTCGACGACCGAGTTCTTTCTGATCAGCTCGATTCACTGCTCCAAACTTCAGGAATGTAAAATTCCCGATACCATCCTCACCATCTGGATGCTTGGTGGTCCACCACCGTGCGTTTTACTAGGAGTTTTCTCCCTCATACAACTTCTCTGTGCAATTGTTTACCATCAGCGATTTTTCCGGACCGATGCGACCTTGCGACCTTCAAGAAAAGAGCTTACTCCCTTCTAAAAGGCCGACAACGCACCTGCAATTCCCCTGGTGATGCAGTTGTTCATGAGCGTCGGTAGTCACTTACCATCAGGTAAGCTGCATGCCCGTTTGACCCTCTTCTATAAATAAATAGCAGTAGTATGTTACAACCTAATAAAGGAAATCTAATGCAAAGGTAATTTAATAATTATTATTTACGTTTAGGGGGTATAATTACATACGGATGCGCCCATGCGAGTAAGTGGCGAGTAAAAACACCACGTTCAAAATTTCTGATGTGGAGCAATTAATTCACACAGTCAATTGCAAATGTAACTGTGGAACATTGATGAAAATTTGTTCTATACGCCGAAGCACTTCAAGAATAAGATTTGCAGAAAGCACATTTATGTAAGCGCCTTGTCATTAGCGTAGGTGACGATAACGACAGTGACTCGGATTCGGTTGAAAATTAATTATCGTATACAGTATACATCTATTTCAAATTTTTATACATTTTTTTTAATTAGTCTAAGTAGTATTTTTGGACCAATAATAAACGTAATTATTCACACATCGACACGACAGTGGTGCGTAACTGTGCCTGCCGTAAGGCATGTTTTAACATTATTTAGTAATAGTAAGTATTACTTGTACAGTTGTACAACCAGTGCGTGTTTCCAGTGACGTCTTACGGATCTGAGACGTGGTCCTTCACTGCTGGCCGTATGAGGACGCTCAAGGTTGCTCAGCGAGCTATGGAGGGGGCTATGCTCGGAGTTTCTCTGCGTGATAGACTCAGAAATGAGGATATCCGCAATAAAACCAGAGTGACCGACATAGCCCAACGGATTAGTAAGCTGAAGTGGCAATGGGCCGGCCATATAGCTCCAAGAACCGATAACCGATGGGGAAGAAAGATTCTCGAGTGCCAGCCTCGTACCGGTAGGCGTAGTGTAGGGCGACCCCCCACTAGATTGAGTGACGACCTGGTATGATATGCAGGAAGTCGATGGATGCAGGTGGCTCAGGGCCGTGCTTTGTGGCATTACTTGGGGGAGGCCTATGTTCAGCAGTGGACTTGTGAAGGTCTGTAATGACGATAATGATGAAGTATTACTTACTCAGCAGTCTCGAATACTAAACAGCTAAACGCAACGCAGCATGGTGATAAAATTTTAGAAGATATTCCTGGAGTTGGTGTCAAAACTGACTAGTATTTCTTATTTATTCAGGTACTTATTAAAACAAGTATAACCGTTGACCGCATTTGTTCATGTATTGAAAATCTCGAACGCGAAACGAGCAAAATTAGGTTTTACTATGCTTGACAAGGTCACATTTCCTACCCTCAATTAATTCGATACTTTATTTCTAATTCCACTTGTGATAAAATAATTTCCATAGAGTCACAACGACCTAAGTATCGCGAAGACTACAGATTCGAGAAAGCTTTTAATTCCTTCTATAAGCTGCACACTGCTACTGCGGAATGGTCGAAAGCATATATCCGTTGTGAAGCCGAAGGCTCTGAACTCATGGTGCCCGAAACACTGGACGAAGCAGATGCAATGCCACTCCTCATCGCCCCAACTCTTACAAACTATGATGGTGTCTACGTTGGCATACATGACTTGTATTCAGAGAGATGTTTTGTTACATTAAAAGGTTTGTCCTCTGCGTTTATTTTTGTATAAATGTACTCGAGTTACGTATACCTTACTATAATATTATTAATTCAAATTTTTTCTAATTTGCCATTCGATTTAAAATTTAAATTCATTTGTAATACGAATAGCTTCTTTTTAGATATCACACCAATCCTTGCTTATTTAAAATAAAAATGTTTCTTTTTTGGATTGTCTGGGAAATGTATGGGCTTTACTTTTATGTTTATGGGAAAGGTGTACTAGATGATACGTTTGAGGTCAGATGATCCCTCACTATTTTAAAAGAAACTACTAACGCCATCTAGTTCAGTGTTGCCAGATTTTTTTCACCTTCCCCCCTAGATTTTTCCAAAAAACCCCTAATTTCCCTATGTAGGGGGATAAAAAACCTCTGAATTTTTATTCGGCCAAGTTTCGTGTGAATCAGATTTATCAAAAATAAAAAGTTTCTACTACATACAAGCTACGTACTTAGACCATTCAACCCAATGGACGAGTAATGCGCCTAATGCTAACGAACAAAAAGTCTGTCATTTTTGGTGCGGGGGAAGAAACACTACATAGACGGTACTGCACACCTACTCAATAAAATTTTGTGCCACTAAGGCAAAAAACAACAAAACAAAATACACAAATCTAAATCTCCAACACTATTACATTTTATATGTAGGTTATATACATCAATATAGAAAAAGTTATGAGTATAAGACGGACAAATTAATTGCGATACTACCATATCGATATTTTATATCGATAATGAATTGTTGGCATTGTCTGTTTTGAAAAAGAATTCGGAAGTTGGTAAGACTATTGAAAAACCTTCAGAAAAACCTCAAGATTAATTTAGTGATATTAAAACCTCTAAAAAAACCTCAATGTCCTCCAAAAACCCCTAGATTGAGGAAAAACCTCTAGATCTGGCAACACTGATCTAGTTGTTTGTATTGGTTAAGCGTCGCGAAAACTGTTATGGAAAAAAATATCATTTGCGTGACTTTGATCTAAGGTAAGGTTGAATTTGAGTTTGTGTCAAACTTGTTCTTAATAGCCTATTGTAAAACATGTTGTATTAGTATATTTGTTTATTGCTCTATTTTGTTTTTTAATGGCATGATAACAATCGGAAACATATTATGGATTCTTATTTGTTATCTAACGTTGAATAAAAAGATTGATGTTGGGGCAAGATGACAGTGGCGAAGCCGAAAAGCCAGGCTTGCCATTTCAATCTTTCAAACTGCTCAATTAATAATATCTACGAAAAAAATAACTCGTAAACTATTTCAAATAAGCTCGTAGCCTTATTATGTAACGTCAACACTTGGAAGTTTGCTTTCAATTCGAAATACACTGATTCGTGTTCTCTCTATCTCAATGCGAATCATAGATAAATAAATATGTAGCAAGCTATGCTATGCTATGAAATATGTAGCAAGCTATGCTATGATGCGAATACGCAATGGACTGTCAAAATTAATGAAAGCAAGGAGTTGATTTGAGCGATTAGTCGTCTCTCTCGCACGCGTGGGCTTTTTACCGGGCTTTCGAGAAGACGATCGCTCCCTTTCTAACCTGTAGCAAAATATTCTATAATGAAATATAACTACGAAATGTTTATATAGCAATTACTATGGAATCAAAAGCCGGGCTTTGCTATGACGTTGTTTCCTAGTGCGGGAGCACGCGGGCGATACGTTAGCAAGTTCACTTCACATTGCAATGTTTATCATAGTAGTTTGTTTTTGTTGTGTCTGTTGAAAATTTATTCTTTTTCAAAGATGTTTAGTGAAAATGGAGTTTAATATTGTTCCTTGTGATGAATTGAAGTGCGTTAAAGTACTAATCGGCGAGGAAAAGGTAAAATCTTTAAACTTTGTTGAAAAAATACACGAGGTTAAGAGCGTCTTTTGGACTTGTCAATTATCGCAATTTAAGAACAGTTATTGGTACAATTAAAACGTTCACCAACATTTTCGCGGTTGTAATCAAATATTTCCATAAGAAAGAGAGACTATTCGATTTAGAATATAAATAATTTGTTTTTTAAATTTTGTACATTGTTTGTACTTTGTTCATGTATAGTATTGTATGTAAATATCTTTTTCTTTCGCTCAAGCAAACCCAAACAGCTTTTTTAAAGCCACCGAAGGTTTGCAATTGCTGATATGTCATACAATCTATCTAGCAGTATGCCTTCTGTGTGCTTTGTTAAACACGTCCTCGACAGCATTGAATATGAAACTGAAGAGTGGAGACAGATAAAGATTGGTATATTTTTATAAAGCTGCTAAAAACAAGAAAACCATATCTTGGGCTTGCCCTAGTTTGGTGCCCTAGATCGGAAGATTCCATGATCAAATGGCTGGATGCTGTAAAAAATAGCATGCCATATAAAACAGCAAGCAAAGAATTTTATGTGCCAGTTATGTCACTAAAAAGCCGAGCCAAGGGTACGAATAAAGTGGCTATTGGTGCAACAAAATATTAAGGTGGAAAAAAACCTGTTTTTACGGTAGAAAAGGAAATCGAGCTCGTGAAGCAGGTTAAAAACATGGAGACGAGGATGTATGGATTTCAATTGTTTTAGAAGATTATATAACTTTGCTAAGCCTTTAGTTATTGTTCGGATACGTAACTAATGTTACCTGAATGACCTCATTCTAAGTTATTGTGTTTAAGAATTTTTATTTTATAATTAAATACAAAGTAACCTCTAATAAGTTATTTTTTTTTCATCTTGGACACCGGATTGCACAAAATTAGATGACATACATCGGATGGATTTTAAAATGAACATGAACAAAACAAAGGTTTACGATGGCTGTCCGAGTACAAAATTGGAGTACGAAACCTATCCAATTGCAGAGAGGTGTAAGATAGGGTGACGTTATATCCCCGAAACTCTCAACCGCTGCATTGGAAAACGTTTTCCTATTGGACTGTAAAGGACACGGTACTAACATTTATGGCGAGTACATCACTCATCTTCGATTTGCCGACAATATAGTCCTCATGGCAGAATCGCTTGAGGACCTAAGCACTATGCTCAATGACTTCAATAGTGCCTCCCAACAGATAGTTCTTAAAATGAACATGGAGAAAACAAAGATCATGAGTAACATTGAAGTAATATGTGTACTCAATGATGTGTAAAGTTCATTTCAAACCTATGACTACATTTGTTGGAAGCTCTACGCGCGCAGCTGTTGACGAGTATGTTTACCTAGGACTAATAATCCGGGTAAATCCAAATTCGACCGGAAGGGCAATTGTCATATCCAACTTGGCTGGGTAGCAATCAGGATCGACACATTTTCTTGTCAGGTATACCTCAAAACTAGAAAACAAGAATGTAAAACCAGTGCGTGTTGCCAGTGATGACTTACGGTTTTGAAAGGTAGTCCTTAAGTGCTGGCCGTATAAGAAAGCTCTAGGTCGCTCAGCGAACTATGGAGTGGGCTATGCTCGGAGTTTCTCTGCGTGATAAACAGAGTAACCGATATAGCCCAACGGATTAGTAAGCTGAAGTGGCAATGGGCCGGCCATATAACGTGAAGAACCGGCAACCGATGAGAAAGAAATGTTCTCGAGAGGCAGTCTCGTATCAGTAAGTGAAGTGTAAGGTAGCCCCCACTAGATGGAGTGTTGACCTGGTATAAAAGATGCAGGACGTCGATGGATGCAGATGGTTCAGAGCCGTGTTTTGTAGCATTTCTTGGGACAGGCGTATGTTCAGCAGTGGATTTGCGATGGGTTTTAATGATGTTAATGAGTAGCTTAATGCTGTTGTGTTTCGTATGGTGGGTTTAGAGAACCGGAGACCCTTTTTGCTCGAAACGAGACATTCCATCTTAGTCTTCACGGGTGACAACGCATCTGCATTTTGATTTGTAAACGAGGATAGATGTAGATGTCTATGGACCGCAGCAACCACTTACCATCAGGTGAACTGTGTGCTCGTTTGTCACCCTATCCTTTAAAAAGAAAAATTAAACGTTAATTCTAATCTGATGAAAATAAAAACCTCATAAAAAGATGAAAATTTCAAATTACTCAGTGCCGCATAATTTTTTTTAACAAGGTAGTAAGTTGCGCGACTCGATCTTGGACTTACTATGGGAATCGGACCAGCCAAAGCACAGCGGTGGTAGATGCATCGCAATGCGCCGGAACGGTCGGCTTTACGTCAACCCCTGTTCAAGTCGACTCCCTTTTATCTGCAAGATAAATGCTACTCAAGTTTCTTATTATCAAGAATGTGAAACTTTTGATCCTCGTAAGTATCAAACTTTAAGTTTGTAACTTATAGAGTGAATATAGTCGAGATATATTATTGCCGTGTAGTGGCGGTTAAGAATACACACATATATTCCCGTCAGTGTCGTAAAAGGCGACAGAGGAAAACAGGCAGGAGATGGGCAGCAGCATCTTCCTGATAACAGCAACGGTACAACAAAAAACTGCGGTTGCCAACCCGCTCGCCAAGCGTGGCAACTATGGCAATACTATGGGGGGTACCCCATGAATAATTACACAAATAGACGGCCCCCAGTCCCCGGCGGCCCCGCTATTCCTGGCTAAGGTGGCGACCATGGTAACGGCGGGGCAGGGGGTGCTAAGAATCTCCGGTGGAGGTTCGGTTGCCACCTACGACGACTCGACCTGGCAACATTTAACGCACGTACCCTGAAGACTGACGAGAAGATCCTGGAGCTGGAAGAAGAGATAGACAAGTTGCGCTGGAATATTATAGGATTTACCGAGGTCCGAAGAGAGGGGGAGGACACGGTGATTCTCGAATCCGGCAATTTGTTCTATCACCGGGAGGGTGACCGTCTGTCCCAAGGAGATATTGGATTTATCATCCACAAGTCTCTCGTCAACAACGTTTTAAAGATTGGGAGTCTATCGACGAGGGTTGCGTACTTTATACTCAGAATCAACAAACGGTATTCGCTGAAGGTCATACAGGTTTACGCGCCAACGTCAAAACATCCC